TGCCTCTGCCTCTCCAGCCAACCCACATGGCCAAATATAGTGTACAGACTGTCCCGTGGAAAAATGCATTTGAACATACTCCCATATTCACCCCTTTTGCCATTTGAAAACACCAAATCCAACAATGACTCTCAAGTTTAGGTATGCCTGTTCCCTAAGTCACACATCCTGACTGGTTAGGGAAAGGAACATTATGGCCTGCATCCCACTTCATGGCAGAAACTTCCAAACTCAAGTTTCATAAAATATATATAACAGAGGTGTGTAATATTCTATTTCTTCAATATCTCCATAGAAATGCTCAGCCTGCCGTACACAAAACTGTACTGTTGCTTTAATGCCAACATCATAGCTGAGGCAACACATTATAAACCGGGCGGCAGCGCTTTATCTCACCAACTGAGATAACTCGCATCAACAAGACCAACAGTAGTCCTGCCACAAAACAGCACTGCTTCTTTTCCTCTCGTTTTTTTTGCACCACTTTATAAGGCTGCAGAACTGGAGCCTGAATCAACAGACCAAAAGGCACCAGAACTGTTTTTTTTATTGAAGTGCAACATCTACACCTACTCCCTTATTTTGATATAGCACCTAATAGCATTCCTAAATCCCTCTCCTATTTCACCCTCTGACACTTTGCAGTCCAACAGCAATCCCTCAAGTAAGATGGTCAAAATTTGAGGGATTTAGAAGCAGTTGCATGTTGACAGAAGTTTAGTGTCTTTTTATACAAGAGACATTGGTGCTCACGAACAACACACTAATATATGCAGTAACTGATTAAAGATATACTCCATTTGTCTGATTGAAGATGTCGTACAAGAGCTTTCATCAACTGTAGAACTGGGAGTTTATCACTCTTCTACAAATGTTAACTTCCAGACTGCATCTCCAAAGCAAACATGTGATGTGAGTGGACATTTAACATTGGGATCAACTTTAACAAAGGCAGCTTTGACATTCACATGCATGCTACTGGTCTGCATGTGCATTTTGAAAAGCATTTCCTCCAATGCTATAGAGCACAATGGCGCTATAATTTACCAGAGTATGGTTAGACTGAAGGCGGTCAGTAGTGGTGAGTGTGATCAAGGCTCTGAGGTACAAGTTCTGGTATTAGCAGAGCTAATCACGAAGGAATGTCCTTATGCAAACACAGAGCTCCTATATTACTATAAATGAGGATCAGTCAAAGACTGAGCTCTACACTCGGGTGCTCTGCTTGTCTACACATGTCTAATAGAAAGGGGTGGGGAAAGGGGCAAATCTCAAGCCCTAAAAAGTCTTTAAAACAGAGCCCCACCCACCAAAATATTTCTCCCCAGCTATCATAACTGTACTAACCACTAGAGAGGAAACAACATAGTTAGAAGGTAATAAATGACCCGTACGCTTGTTACACTGTGTGACTTAAAACTGCGGCCTAATGTTAGAAGACTATCTCTATTATAAGCAGAGTGTAGGTTCAGCTAATTGCAAACGCTTTGAATGAATCAAATCTCACACTCAGTATATTAAGTGGGAGTCTCAAGCTTTTCAAGAATTAATAGAAACACTCTGGATGAAGCACAAGGGTGGTTTAGGGACTGCTGGAAGTTAAACAGAGAAAGCATGAACCTAATGATCACTCAAGTTAACTTCAAGTACACATTGGACTTTGCACTTCTTCCCAATTAAGGTCTCTCCCCTGACTTTTTAGGATTGGTGGGGCTTTGAGGAACAGCACCTAATGATGCTATGAGGGGGTTAGTACACACAAGAATTGGAACTGTGCTTAAACCAGCATCTTCTAAGTAGCAAACACACAGCAGCTGCAGGTTTGAGAGGTGGCTGCCAATAGTTTCTTCAGAGAACTGCTGCTGGTATGAGTTTACACTGTTTAAGAAATGTTGCCACATCTATGAAAACTTTAGAAATCACTCATGCAGCACAATCAACCTCTACCTGGGCATCGGTATCTTCAGAGAGGACCAAAGATGGTGGCCACTCACTAAAATGATAACTGCTCACCAAGCATGTAACTCAGAAAAAGAGAAAAACCTGAAGACCTTGCATTACTTTTCTAAACTCTGGAAAAGTTTTACAAATATAAAATTTCCATGAACTTAGTTTTAGTAACTGTAACAATAACTGGCTTTGTTCACAGTTCACCGTCTTGTCAACACTCCTGCAGATTCCTTTTAGTTCTAGAAATACAGGGAATGATGCTGCTGCTGCAAAATGTATGGTTTTTAATATTTGACATGCAAACACTGGTTCTATACAACAATCACCTGATCGCATTGGTTTTTGGGTGCACATGTGTGTCTACAGAGCTCAGCATGACAGACTTGCTCATATGACACCCCACAATAATCGAGGTCAGACAACCCGTTTTAAACTCACATGCATTCTTTCAATTTGCCAGCAGTGTTATGACTGTATATTTCACTTATGTCACTTGAACTGAGTGTGAACGTACAGACTTTTGCTCACAACACTGCATTTCAAAGAAGCTCAAGCAGCCATCCACTGATTTCCTTTGGAATACCGCCAGCCTAATATTTGTGGGCTTAAGGATGCTGGAGGAGGACCAATGACGTAGCTCACATCTAGTAAAAGTGTCACTGTTGTTTAGTGTAGCACCCTGTAACATCCTCAGAGCTCTGCCCATTTAGGCATTTGCTGCTGACAGATGGATTGACTCAGATGCGAGCCTCACCTAGCAACAGTAAGACACACAAGTGTACTGTGTCATGTTCCCTTACTAAACATTTGGTTTGTAAATCCTAAATGAACACCACAGCCAGGATTAAAGGGATGATGCTATGCTCTGCTCAGACATTATCTGAACTTAAATATTTATTCAGAATCTGGTGGGAATCCTGGATGTTTAACAGCTTGCTTTAAGTTGTGTTTGTTTCTGCATTTTGCAAAGTCTAGTTTGTGAAAAGTCAACTGCAAAGCAAAAACAAATGTTGGAACAATCAGTCCATAGTTTTGTGCATTGGTCCTTAAAATTCTGAAGCGATCAGCTTGTTTCAAAGATCCCTGCTTACTTCCCTACACCTTTTAAAGTGTGCGTCCTCTATAAGCCCTTCATTAGCTTTATGAAAATGACCTTCGAGTTTCTCTATCATGATGTAAATGTGCACTCCGGTGCACAGATTCGCTTTGACAGACTTTTGGTGCAACTGCACAATTACCCAACTGTCGACTCAGTGGGTGGAGGTGACAGAGGGTGGGGTGAGGACTGACAACCTTAGTCACCACCTTGCTTGTCATTTCAGCGTGCAGGTGCAAAATGGGTCAGTTAACAGTAACTTAACTCCTCGATTACTAGATTACGCTTCTTGTCTTGGACCGTTCCCAGTCTCACACTTGCGGAAGTCTCCCCCCCAATGAGGGATCCACCGGCTACAGTAAAATCTGATTTATGGGGGTGGGTTCTCTGTGGGAAGCAACGGAGTACCTCCGATACCAGCATGGGGCCGCTCAAAAACGAGACAGCCAATCTAATCAACTTTAATAAACTCCATCTTACCCCACGATCCCTTCTGAGTAGTTCCTGTCTTTCCATGGCGTGCCCGTGTAACCATCATAGTCTCCCGTGTTGGAGCCGCTGCCACTGTTCAAGAGGCTGGAATTGAATCCGAAAGTGCTAGCTTTGTTGTCTCTTTTTCTTTTGTTGGGGTGTCCGTCCGTGAGTCCCCTCCACAGCACGGCGACCCCGCTGCCCTGCTGCTGCCCCCCTCCGCCGACACCGCCCCTGCCAGCGGCTCGGTTGTTGTGGTTGGTATTCGTTTCCAGTGGTATAAAATCCCGTTGTTCGTTTAAGTCCCCCATTGAGGCCGACATCCCCTGAGTCTTGACGTCTCCAGTACCGGTGTTTGAGTCCCCGTTTCTGCTGGTGAGGACGGCTCCCGACGCCCCGTTGACGGTCGCTTTCAGGCTCGACGTGCTCTGAGATCCAGTGGTGTAGCTGTTATTTACATGCAAATAGCCGAGCCCCTGTGTCGTCTCCCAAATCTGCATCCACAGGTTGTTAGCGGGTCCACGTTGTTCTGGTTGAAACCAGGCGATTCTCGGATCCATCAAACGACACTGTAGGCACACCGCCCCCCCACCCCACCACCGAGCAATGCTCAGCTCGTGTGCAGCTAGCCAGGTCGCTAGCTAACGTTAGCTAGCCTGCTATAGCCTCGTTATAGCTGCTGCTAGCTGAGCTCCTCCGCTGACCGATACTTCGAGAATCTGGTAAAAACGCGTTGCTTAGCAGTGACAATACAGACAGTTGTCAACCAGTAGCATCCACGGGAAATAAGATAACAGTGCGAGTCAAGTATTAAAAATGGTAGCAGACGCCAAAGTTGCGGTAGAAGACTGGAGAAACGTGCAGGCGGTGCTTGTCGAAGTGCCTCTCTGACCCTTTCCTCCTGATCGTGGGTCTCTCAATGGCGGAGTGTACGTTTTTACTACGCATGCGCGGAGCGAGTGAAAAGGGGCGGAGACACGGCTCTTACGCAACAGACAACTGTTTTGTGTTACATAACAAGGACTGATTTATTATTCCCTCATCAAAGTAAAGTGGACTAGGTAAACCCGATTTATGATTACGGCCCAGCGCTCTTCTCAGCAATAAAGATTTGTAAATATACAAATAATCTCCCAGGTTAGAGATATACAGAGTGCTGCATAAACCATGACTAATCTACTTGTAGATGACAAGTCATAATATAAACTCCTAATTCAACTGTAAATACATACTACAATCTGTCAATTCGTGTTGAGGTAATCTATTTATAATTTACAAAATATCAAAAAGAATTGTAAAATAAATATTATTCCTCTATTTCTTAACAATCACTCAATTTAAGGTTGTTTTTGTTTGAAAAGCTGGAATCACAAAAAAACATTTGAGCATTTTTGTGATTCTGTTTTTTTTTTTGAAAATGAGAAGCAGTTCTCAAATAACTTACTAACTTGGTAAAATAAAGGTTAAATCAAATAAAAAATAATCATCTTACTCAATTTCTTTATTTCTCTTGATTTTTTTTCTTTCTTCATTTTATATTTTTGAAATTACACCATCTTTGATGCTTTAGCAATATTTTTACCTATATATACATACCAACAAAACATATCCAATTTAACTGATTCGCTAACTGCTTCAGCACTACTTGCAAGTAGATTGTACCTTTTTTATATGATGTAATATGGTGGGGGTCAAATGTAGCTGTGTTGCAGCTTGTTCTGTACAGTGTTTTTTAATCTTGTTAAAATGCAGTAAAATTGCATTGTAAGGACTTTGTTGTGTGTAGCAACAACAATCAGCATCAAACTATCAGTTACAGATACTTCAAATAACAGCATTTGGTAGGAGACATACAGATCCGTTGGGCTTACTGGTTCATTGACTGGTCATGTGGTGCAAAAGAAAAGAGACATCTCAAGAAATCATGATTCATTTAAAAAAAAAAAAAGGCATTTGTTCACAGCCTGGTGACACACTCTCCCTCAAATTAAATAGTTTTCTTTATTCAGTGATAAGGAGTTTTATTGATATTTTCCTAAAAAGTTTTCAGAAACCAAGACAAAAAAAAAAAAGGCCAAAGACTTGAGTTTGTCAGTTACGTAAAGCGTGATGATCGATGGATCAGGTGCAAAACAGATGACACGAAGGAGATTTACTTATTTCAAACCTGCTCTGTTGTAGCACAGGGCTGATTATCATCTTGTGAGTTTTAAAGACACCCAAACCTATTATCAATTATTTTAGAATACCACTGATAAGAATGCTTTCTGCTGTAGTGACTTGCAGACACAAATGTACCAGCAAGCTGTATGAGCTGAGTCAGTAATTGCAAAAATAAATAGCATTTGTTCATTTTTTTTTTTTTTTGAGAAAAAATATGATTCCAATGTATAATGTCCATAAAACAAAGTCTTCTCTTTGTCATTAAGTAGCTGATATTTGAATCATTATAACTATCCAGCTCTTAGAACAGCTCAGCCTCCTTGCAGCAGAAATGCAAATATCAACGTTAAGCCCATTGAAACATGGGATAAAAGGAAGGGGGTGAGAGGCAGTGTCAGCCATGATCTCTGAAAAATGCTACTGGGAGACATGATTACATTAAACAACTTCATGTTTGTAAATCTTTCTGAGTTAAATGAAAGCAAAAAAAAACAACAACAACAAAAAAACCTTATCTGCTACATGCAGCAACTAATAATTCTTAGTTTCCACTCTTTTTTTTTCTCTTCACCACAAATAAACTTTCACATCACTAATAAAACAGTAAACAATTATTTCAAGAATATAAACATAAATACTTAATGGTTTCAAAACCATATTCTGCCTCATTTCACACTCCCGTCCAAATCATATTGGTTCAACCGATCGGAATATGAAGTACGGAAAGTTCTCATTTTTTCACCACCTTCTCCAGGTAACCAATAAATCTCCTCAGGTTGACTTTGATGTTGTCCAGCACACACAGCTGCTGAGGGGTGTATTTGCCTTTTCCTTCTTTGCGTATCTGGTTGAAAAAATAAAAGCTATAGTTATTTAAAAGTTTGACACAATATGCTGGAGACATAAGAAAGATAGAAACTGTTGCAAATCAAAACTGCAACAGCAAAAAGCAAAGTGTAAAAAATATGGAGGAATCACTAAGAGCAGTGATCAGTAAAGATCAATTAATCCCTGGTACCTTGGCCTTGAAAACAGGTTGAAGTGCCTTCAGTGCAGGCAGTAAGTGGATGTTTTTCGCAGCTGTTTCTGCTTCGTCTCCATCCGCGAAAACATCAAATAAAGCGTCAAGGGCTTCTCCATTTACCACCAGGTCGGCGTCCCTTGTGGCAACTTGAAGTAAAGCGGTTCCAATCATCTGCGGGAGCAGAGGTTGTTAGACGAAGAACACATATTGCGAAAGAAGAAAAGAGACAAAGACGATACCTGAAGGGTTTCTGCAGTGCCCTTCTCTTTGGCTAACGTGCTGCCAGTGATGCCCAGGATGGCGACGGCGTTGACCCTCACACTGACAACATCGCAGCGGGTGGCTGCTTCGCTCAGGCTCATCAGCTGCTGGGGGGTCATACACTAACAAAAACAAAACCAAACACGCAAATATTGAGTCGTCCAAAACAAACATGGTCAACATCGATAACAGTGAGCTGGCAGGGGAGGTTCAAGTTTGACATAAATACAAAGTCTAGCTTCTGTGAAACGGCGCTGTATTTATCCAGTCGACAAACATGGAACTAAACTAACTTCACCAACTGTACACATGAACTCAGTTAACTGGACATGAGGAGCATTAGTCAGCCGGCAACAACAGAGCTATAATGTGTTCCTGCGGCTGCAACAGCATGGGGATTTAAAAGTTTGGAACATTTAGCAGACAGAGTAACAACTCATTTATATAACGGAGTTGCATTGTGGGAAAAATAAGATCAAGCATTTTAGAGATTGATCCGGGCTGGTGGCTAAAAGTCAGGATGTCTCAACCTCAGCTGCAGAGTGACCCCTTTTCAGTAATCGTCATAAATGACACTGTTTTGAATAGTGTGTGTTCTGTACCTGGGGGATATTTTTGGAGGCGATCATCTGTAAAAGAGACCGCATTGCACTGATGACTGCCTCGAGGAACTCCTCATCTTTGGTAAGCTCTAAAAGAAAAGAAAGAAAATGTTGAATGCCACCTTGCATATGTAGTTTTGGTTTTCACTTTTCACTATGATGCGATTCTACATCTAGACTTTGAACAACTTGCTTCCTTTGTATTACAAAAATAACAAAAGTAATAGAAACTGTGCAATAATAAAACAACGGGAGACCTGCGGCACCAAAGACCAGCGTGGACAGATGCTGTGCTGCTCCCTGCAGGGCCGCCGCACCGCCCAGAGACTCAGCATCCATGGTGGAGAGGATGCTGTGGAGGCACGTCAGCGCCCGGGACTGGACGCGCTGCATCCTAAAGGAGAGTGAGATGCTTTTTTTTATTCAAGAGCGTATAAGTGTGAAAAAGTGAAAGTAGACAACACAAAGTGCAACACATTCTGACCAGACAGTAAAGTTCAAGAGAAGATGAGAAGTAAAGAGGATTACTTTTTTATCAGGCCTCTCCAGGAGGGATTCTGATGGCACACGTCCATGGCTTCATTTCTAGGGAACTCTGTCTTTTTGAGAACCTTGAATAAAGAGAAGAAAAGTATACTATGGGAACCCTGTTTTTACAAGTCAGCCTGGTTGCATAAAGGCATTTATGTGAAAGAGAGAGCTTTGCTGAACTGCACTGGTAAGATATTTAATCTGCTCAGCCTGGGGGACAAGCTGGGTTGGGTTCAGTGCATAATCAGAATCATAATTTAGGTTTTATTTACAGTAGCACACACTTAAATGACAGCTTAACTACATTCACAGGCGAGTCAAAGCATTGTGACGCTGGGATGAACTCCTGTTTACAGCTGTTGAACAAGCTGAAGTGTGATTGATGAACTGCGCCACTATTTGCCTTTTCTGGTATGCTGTGGTTGATCAAGGCCCCGTGAACCTCAGCTGACAAACACAGTGGAGACATCAGGTTGGACAGTCCGTCACAAAGGCCATCCGGACCCAAGTCGCTCTCGTCACTGCTGGATTCCTCTTCCCACTCGTCATCAGAGGGGTCTGAAGAGGCGTAAAAACACAGGCTCGATCAACGAAAAGACGAAAAACAAACGTCGTCACTGGAGAGCAATGAACGGCATTTCTGGACACTCAAATTGTTCGTGTATTTCTTGCTGTGATAGGCTTGGCGATGGACAAACACATACTTGGTGGCTATGTCACAGGAAATAAATGTGATGAAAAGTGCCTGAGGTCAGCACTGATGTCCATGCCCACAACACTCACCGTCAGAGCAGCACATGTTGACAATGATCTCTAAGGACGTTTGCTGGGCTGTCAGCAAGGCCGTTGCCTCCCTCAGCTCCTCCTTGCCCCTCTGGACAAAAACAAGCAGCCATATGAGTCAACATCCTCCCAAAACAATAACTGTTAGCACTGTTATCACCCAGTCTGAGTTCAGCTGCCGACCACAAAGAAGACATTTAATCCTACACATGCATTTGAATATGTCCCGTGGCACTATTTTCCAGCTGTGATGCAAGAAAAGTGAAAAACTGTCTCAAGCGTGTCCATTTTGAAGGAAAAAAAAAATTAGGTTGAACCACTTGACATTTACTGATCACGCCAGTGTCTGTGTGTTCAGTAGCACTGAAACAAGGACACTTCCACAGCTGTGTGTTCACACAAGAAAGTGGCTCAGACCCAGATAACCCCATTGTGTAACCCACAACATTAGAGGGTATTTTGGAACTTCACCATGAATGTCATCCACAATCTTGGGGCTCTGGCTGTGACTGAGCTGAGAGGGACAGCTCTGTCTCGCTGGGGTCAGGTTTGGGGACTGTCAGTGTGGTGGAGGCCAGAAGCTGGTCCCCAGCTGAACCTTGCTGAGTGTCCCCAGTCTGCTCCCGCAAACCCGACAGTTTGTCTGCCCTGTCAGTCTGGCTCGCTCGCTCGCTAGTATGACTCACACGCCACCTTTTCAGCTGGCATTAACGTGCGCCTCAAAAACACAAAACCAGATCGCCTCCTTGCCATAAACACAGACTTTTGAGTATGTCACATATCAACACTTAAGACTGCTGCGATTCTGCGACTCCTGACAACTCACTGTTTTGTAAAGTCTCCCCGGTCATTGTTTAACCTCTAACAACTCAAAAAGCTATGGAGAACTTTTTTTTTCTATGAAAATAATCCCTTTATGCCTTAAATGGTTTAAATATAACTTTAGTCCTGCCTTAACTCCACTCTCTCTGCCGCTCGCTGCAGCTCGGGCACACCAGCTCACCTGTGACTCTGCTCCAACACTGTGAAACTACTCCATGCTACACAGTGATGAAATATTGGTGTAATTCAGCTGTACACGTTCAAACCAGAAACCGATTCTGAAGAAGAAAAGCTAAAGCCCCACTGCTATGAAGCCTCAGTGCATCATCAGTTCACTGCAGTTTCATGTAGAAAAGCTCAGTCATGGTGTTAACTAATTACTACTTATTAAAATGTTCTCAAGAAAGGATCTTGAACCACATAAATGATTAAAAAAGCAAATTGTATGCTCTTGCATGTTACTTGTTGACTGGAGAGAAATTTCACCATTTACCAAACATCTGGGAAATTTGCTTCAGGCTTGTTCTAAACTTTGACTTGTGAGTCAAAAACGTAACAAGAAAAAAGCATCTCTATTTCTAAACAGGGAGATGGTCTACAACACCTTTTATCAGGTACTTATAATGCAGTCCTGAGATACCTCCCCAGGTTGGATCACCACCATCCACACCTTGAAGCAGGTAAGTCTTCAATCATTAGTGAGCTTTGTAGTTACTTGATTTCTAATCAGTCGTTAGAACTGAGGAAATTTCTTTGATGAGAGGTGAAACGTCTTCAAGAACTCAAAAAGAAGTCGAGCTGATATCCTGTAGCACCTAACTACTGTGACCTGGATGACTGAGAAGCTACACAAATATATCCTCACTTAAGAACTTTGCTTAAAGCAGCTAAAAGTACAATAATTTTGAGTACCAACTGCAGCGAGTCTTTAATATTACATTTTATCAGATGCCCTCTCTCAGGCACAGAATCAGCCAATAGCAGGATGCCAAAGGTCATGGCTGCTTTACAATCTATGTACCTCTTGTCATGATCACCTTAATCAGATCGATACTAAGCTATTTTCTTGTTTAAAAATGCTGATAATCATATAGATATGTATGATAAGTATGGGTCAATGTTTAGTGACCACTCTGTGTTCTGAGCTTTTTGCATTTTTACAGCTGAAAAATGAGTGTGTCAGTTTTCTCTCGTCTACAACACATGCTTTGTGCTGATTTATGTGCACGCAGAGGCCAATATATCTGCATTAAGGTAATATCAGTCAATTCATCAGACAGATAATTTATCAAACTAGGCTAAATACAAATTGAAGCATTCTGTCAATGTAACTGGGCTCATATATGTCAGAAAAGTATGATTTACTGTTGCTCAGTCTCAGAGGTCAGAGGGAGAACGAGTAAGTAAGTATAGAATTTAAGCAATAACTACAGCATTAATATCCACATTTAATATTGAATTAAATATTGATATAAGAGGTGAGGCAGGTTGGACATATAAAACTGCCAAATTCTCCATTTCTGAATCTCTTCGTTTGAAGTGTGCCACAGTGGGACATGTGATGGCAAAAGAAGCCACTTACAGGCAGGAGGTCGGAGAAGTCATTATCAACCTTGACAGCTTTCCCATTTCTCCTCTGTTTCGGTGCTTCCTCCTCCTCGTCCATCTCCTCCACGGCGAGCTCCGCTGCAGCAGCCTCTTCTGCGTTGGTCTCAGCTGGTGCGTTTCTATGATGCAGCGCTTCTGCTTCTCTGAGTTCAGGGATCAGCGTACCTGCGTCCAAATCCAGACACCGTGACAAGGTGGCCACCACGGCGGTGACAGTCTGGGCCTGACGGGCAGCAGGCAAGCTCCCCTTCATGTTCCACAGCGTCCCTGAAAGACGCAGAGTCAGAGCTCAAGAACTGACAATAAGAACATCACAGTACTTCTCAGTTGCCATGTTTGTTTCTTACACTTCCAACTCCTGTAGTTCAGAGAGGACTTTATGTGATAGCAGTTAAGCTACAGTTTTGAACAATTCAGAAAAAAAAAAACGAGTAACAAATTGTACCTGCAGCTAACGTCCTGAGGAGATGGTGAGCCATGCCTGGCTGAGATGAGAGCAGCACATTCTCCAAGGCTCCGAGCACAGCAGTGTTCAAGCTACACAGCAGCTCAGGGTTGTCCTCCGTCACAGTGTGCAAACAGTGAGCTGGGGACACACAGAGGAGAGTCCCGCAGTTAAAGACTGGGTTCTCAAAACTGGGAGAACAGATTAGTTAGAGGTCAGGCCTCATTAAAGCCTACTAAGAACAACATTAACATCTGTAATTCCATGTAAAGTTCAGGAATATTAATAACATGACAGGCTGCATGTGGCATTACCTTTCACCTTTAATCTTTCTTTTCCCAATTTCATTTTTTTAGTTGCGTGTGTACTTTAAATATGAAGCTAGCAGCTAGTTAGCTTAGCTTAGCATAAAGCCTGGAAGCAGGGGGAGACAGCTGACCCTGTTCTGCTGAGTCAGCTGTAGAGGACTTCTAAAGCTCAACAAGTAACACACTGTACATCATTTTCTTAATCTGCAAAGAAAACTGAAGGGAAAAAAATAACACATTACAGTTTTACAGGCTCCGGGACTCTGCTAGTTACCGATCATCTTTACTTAAACTCGCTTTAGTGACTGAGAGTAGCATCGTCTCATCTAACTCTCAGTAAGAAATTAATAAGTGTCTCAAAAGGGTTGACTCTTTCAAATTATCTAAAAATAGCATTACCTCGTGACCCCTAGTAATATGTAATACCTGTGGAGGTCACGTGTGATCCTATTCCCAGCCCTACAGATGACACAGCATCTGGAAAACCTACCAGCAGATATGGCCAGCTCCACGTTGTGTGGCTGCCTCTCCAGACACTGGACAACCACATCCAAGAGACCCGACTTGTTGAACACAGACAGCGCCTGGCTGCTGCTCTCACTGGCGGGACATAGGAAGATGATCGATGGATGGGAGAGAAGCAATTAATACACAGCGTATTTGTGTCAATAACTACAGTTTAATGCAATGTCTATTAGAGGGATTTCCTGGATTTCTTCTGCAGCTGTAGCTACGGTGCCACTACCTGGGTGCTATGTATGGGAACAACCACCTCCTGGCTTACCATAGATTCCACAGTAAGTTCACGGCCTCGTTTGCCACATCCTCCACTAGGTTCTTCTGCTCTTTCATCGGCACGACGGCACTTTCAAAACCAGCACAGCACTGGAAACAAAACAACGGCGTGTTGCACATGTCAACAAAACATCAAGCGAAGCAGGTATGAACTTTGCCGTCACCCATATGAAAATGTTCAAATACAGTTTGAAAATAGGCTTCATGACTCAAGACACCCTCACTCAAAAAGGTCAACAGTGAGCTTGAATTCAACGCCGGGAGTCTATTTTCTCCCTTGTGCCCTTTTCAACAATTCACTACTACCTTTTGCTCTGGAATGACACCTAACTGCTGAGAATATCATAGCACGCTGCAGCAGCTGCTGATGAAGAGGAACCGAAGTGATGGGGTGAGCTAAAAGCAGCGGCGGAGTCTCACCTCTCTAAGCAGTGCTGTCAGAGGAGTCATGACGTCGTGCTTCACCATGTCCTCGCACACTTCCTGACCTCCACATGCACTCAGATTCCTGTCAGGGAGAGACAGAGCCAGACGCATACTCATCAGTTACTCCAGGGAGAACCACCGTCCTCCTCCCCGGCTGTTTGTAAATGTGTGAGAGCAGGAATCCCAACTGAAGGTTTATTTAGAACAACAGTCTGAAAGTCTTTGTTGCAATGTCGGTGGTTTTAGGGTCACATTTAGTCAGAAAATGGGTGAAATATTTTCATTATCATACCAAAAAGAATCAGATATGACACAATAATAACACAAGCCAGCACATCTTTCAAATCCTAACGGCACGTTCTATCTGCTTTCAGCCAGAGCTTTTTACTGGAGGATGGCGCCCCCTGTAGAACGACAAACACCCACACAGCACCACACTGAATGTCATCTTAACTATAGCAGGAGATGTCTATTTTAATCTTTTTGGTTTGTTTTTATTTTCTCCAAAGTTTTTAAGGGTTTTTCACATGATTGTTGCCTTTGCGTACACTGAGTATTTTTTAGCATCTATTTTCCGTTGTCATACCGTTACACACTTGTAGTTTTTGATCAAAAGGGTGCTACTTATATAAACATACCTTGGAAGCAAGCAAACTGAAAATGATAAGAAGGCTGACAACAAAAGAAAAATGGAAACTGGAACATGATGTCCAAATTCTGGGCAGAACTAAATTTTTGATTTTGCTAGACCAAATTAAAATCCTTCTTAAATCACAATGAGATTGTAATCTTGCCTGGGTAAATTTTAAATCTGCCTAGGCAGAATTAAAATTTTGATTTTGTCTAGACCAAATTGAAATCATTGATATGTAGTATTTGTACCAGTCTTGTGTGACTGTTAAACATGACAAAAGACCCACTAGCACCAGATGATGTGGAAACCCGATCATTCGGAGCACAACTGAAAAGACCCGACTGGCTCAGCTGAAAACGACAGTCAAGTGACATAAAAATAAATTTAAAAATCAGTGAATATTTGACTTACACAGAGGAGAAAGGAGATAAGTTATGGAAATATGGAAACAAATTAGAGATTGAGAGCAAAAAATAAAACTTGGTTGAGCAATACCGTGAATGCAGCATGGCTCAGAAACAGCACACAGAGAAGCCAGCAATAGCTTTTTAGAGTTTATGTGCAGAGTAATGTGAGAAATATGTGGTTTGTAGAGAAGATTTTCTTAAAAAAAAAAAAAAATATATATATATATATATCTATATATAAGTAGTAAAATATCTATAGTGTGTTGAGCAGGGGTGCCCAATCCTGGTCCTCGAGAGCCCATATACAGCATGTTTTAGATGTTTCCCTCTTCCAACACACCTGATTCACATGATCAGGATCGTTATCAGGCTTCTGCAGAGCTTGATGATGAGCTGATCATTTGATTGGGCATCAGGATTGGGCACCCCTGGTGTAGAGTTAGCATTTTTGTCCATGGGCACTTGGAAATTTTACGTACATGTTTATTCAAGTTTGTTGTAAAATAATTAATCACAACAATTCAACTTTTTTTCCTTCTTTTTTTTAAATGACAGCATTCTAATTGTTTCAAACAGCACAAAAAATATTTCTAGCGTCTCTCTCCTTCTGACCAGGGTTGTGCTGTTTCCATACAGGTGCATTACTCTGTGTTGCAGTGACAAGTGAGCCCACAGCGAGTCAAAATGTAACAAGTGCAAAAAACATTGAGAAAACTGCTTGAGGTTCAAAAGGTTAACAGCAAACGGTGCGACCCAGAATCGTTGCACTGAGCAGCCTGTCTCACTGTCAGAGCTTTGAGGTGACACTCGGTGGAACGTGGACGTTTGCTGTGACTAAGGTCTGCCGCTGAACTTATATAATTCACACTGACCTCCACCTGAGCAGAGGTCCAATCAGTTGTTATTTACAATTACATTACCTGATTCAAGTACTATTCTTTATTACTGTACAATATAACAAATACTAAATATTCTAACCTGTTGCATGCTGCATTTTCTGGCAGCCACTAAGTACTGTCGATCTGCACATAAGCGAGAAAACAGCGGAAGGATCATACAGCACATCACATGCTCAGAAGCATCCTTTATAAGTAGTCAAACATTTCACAGGGAACCTTTAGGAAGGTTTCCCCACCATCACCCCAAAACAGTTTGCTACAAAAGCCAAGTGAAGCGTTAATAATCACGCTGATAAATCGTCAAATAAGGCGCTCTGTCTCGATCGCTCGGGAAATCTTTTTTTTTTTTTTTTTCTTTTTTTTACTGAGGAAATGTTGATGAGTCAGAAAGGCACCGCTGTAATTAATAACATAAATAATGACTAAATTCTATTTAGTTTCAGGGTCTTGGTGTTGAGCATGTTGGCTCTCTGGGACCAGCAAGAAGAGAAAGCGGAGGAAACTAGGAGGAACGTGCTGGGACACGTGTTTCAGCCGAGACACTAACTTGTTCACTGGCTGTAACCCACTGAAGAGGCTGCAGATGAAATATTAAACAAGTTCATCTTTTATCTTTTTGGCATAAAACAGCCACGTCTAGAGTGTCCTGATTTCAGTACTTGCTATTTTTTGGAAGCACGGCATGTTCGAACAGGCATCAACATACAGGAGAGCGCACATACCGAAACTGTACTGATGAGGACAACAGGTTGAAAAAAAAACAACGAGTTGCCACATGTTCTCGTAGTTTAATCGTAGCAACTGGACTTGCGTGAGTTACCTGAAGACATTTCACCTCTCATCCAAGAGGCTTCATCAGTTCTGACTGACTAGTTGGGAGTTCCAGATACTTATATCCTTATTAAGAACCTTCACAGACACGTGTTATTCCCCTTTTCCATTACACACATTTGGACGTTTTATATCATTGAAAGTTTGTCACTAATGACAGGACAGGAGGATATTAGTATGTCAATTGCCCCGTCATTACAGGGGGAACACACAATTTGTTCTTTGACCTGTTGAGAGAAAATGTTCCTCTGCTCCTTCTGTATGTAGCTGCCACAAACTTGTTGATACGCATTTCCCAAAAGAGTCCTAATGCTAAGACAATCATAGCACCAGGACTTGAAGAATCCCTCTGGGGAAAATCAAGGTTATTCCATTGTTTACATGCCCATATGGTGTTCTTTCATATGGTGAGTGAAAGAAGGCGTCCACAACATGGCTGAGCATTACTGATGACAAACCCACGGAGCCAAGCCTGTCTGTCTGCAGGGTGGGGCTGTCTGTATCAGTATTCTGGTTTAACTCTCCACTGTGCAGCGTTAGAGCAGAGTTGTAGGTGAGCTGGTGTGCTATAGCTGCAGCGAGTAAGATGCAGGGATCTGGACATTCTAGTAGAAGCGGTGGTGAAGAGTTATATTTAAGTCATTTAAGGCAGGAACTCACGGTGAAAAACATTTACATAAGTGAGATTTTAGGAATTTAATCAATGACTGGAGAGGAGATAATACATTATTTTGTGAGTCCAGGTTTGATTCAAATGACTTAGATTTGTTGGTGTATTCCACACTCTACACTGCACCTGTCTAGTCTCACTCCTGACTCACCTGAGTGCTCCGGTGGCGGTCTCCCTGACAGGTAGGCTGCTGTCCAGTAACATGGGGCCCAGGCGTCTGACAGCATCCCTCTGGAGGAAACCTGGGATGGTCTGGCTCTGCTGCACCACCCGTGAAATGCTGGCACATGCAAACTCTCGGACATCTGCGCTGGGACTCTGCAACTATGGAAATACGTTTGGTGAAGTTTTGATTTTCACAGATTTGTTTTTTTTTAATGACAGCATCTACATAAAGTCTAACATCCACACATCTGGCTGCTGTGTATTCACCTCATATGTTACAATCCATGACAGGATTTAAAGTCTAAACATGTGATCACACACTTGTTTACTTACACTGAAAGTCACTAAATGCAAAGTGATGAGCACTAATAAATAACACATTTACAATGAACGTGTAAACAAAAACCTCACCAACGTTAAACGACAAAACAATTAGTCTGAAATTAGGTTCAGATTATGTTCTTACTTTTTCCAGCAACTCCGCAGCTGGACAACCGTCATCGTCGAGCTGTTCCTCTTCAGCGTCCACCTCCTTCACAGCATTCACCGGCAAACCGACCGAGTTGAACTGCGGACGTTTAAACTTTGCGGTTTTACTTTTACCCATTTCAACTCTGATTAAAGTGCGAGCTGCGCATCTAACGTTGATTTTTTTATTTTCTCGTGTTCCCTCCGCCTTGTTAGCGATCAGCTCTCACACACAATCCGGCTCCAGCCTGGTCGGAGGCCATGTGGAAGTTTGGTCTCTGCCGTAAAATCGCTCGTTACTAACAGAAAGCAGCGACGCTGTCGCAAAAACACGGGAAAGGCTGCGGTGCAATCATATGAACGACAAGATGAGACATATTCTTACATCTGATGTATTTATTAGGTAAATAACTTTAAAAATAGAAACATTTAGATAAAATACACGCCTAACATCAGAAACAGAAATAAACACATCTGAACTCACGCTTAATGAGTAAAACAGGTCAAAGGTTACAGGAGCAGATCAGCAGCTTCAAGAGTGACATCAACACAGTGACAATGTTAAAACATCACATCAGTTCATTTCCTTGTTCCCAATGCATTTTCCACCACTATGACAAGAACCCGCCACAGTGCTGCTCCGCACGCCCAAAGGTGTCAGTGGCTGTAGGCATGATCAGCTACATTGTCTGAACAGAGCACACGTGCTTGTTGTTATTGGATGTTTGGTCGTGGTTTCAGAATAAGTTTCCCCGTCTGTAAAGAAATTTTAAAAAAAAACAAAAAAAAAAGTGTTAGCAATTTAACAGACATGTGAGTCATCTAAAAAAGCCTACAGGTCAGTGTAAAAATGAATCTGTTAACTCACATCATCACAGGACATGTTGTATTCTGCTAAAACTGTACGGCAGCGGGCAGCGATACTGAAGAGGCAAAGGTCAAAGATGTTAACCAATAATGTATAAAGGAATTTATGACGTCCGTGTAGTTGCCTGACCTTTAAGCCAATGCAAATACACAGATCAGCAACATTAAAATCACAGACAGGTGAAGTAAACCTCGGCTCCAGCCTGAATGTGGATGATACTTGGACACATTACACAGGCCTAAACAGTGCTCCAGACAAAGCCACCCACCCAGGTAGCAGCGCTTTCCTACAGCAGCAGCCTCCCCCAGCAGGATAACACTCCCCACCACGGCTTGAGGAACACAACACAAAGACCAAGGCATTTATTTCAAAAGCACAAAGGATCTGCTGTCAACTTTCCAGTACCAGACATCACAGGACATCCTAAGAGGTCCTGCATCTGTGCCCAGACGGGTTACAGCCGAGGCAAGAGGGACAGCAATTTTAGGTTTTCATTTTAATATTGTGGCCGAATGGTGTGTACCGTCATGTCATTTCATGTGAACTGAAACAGATAAAGGATACATTGATGGTGCCACAACTCGTTTGTGAATACCAGCAAAGAAAAGAGCTATTAGAGTGATGCAGCTGATGGTGAAGAAGGGATGATTCCAGAGTGATGAAAAGAAAGACACCTGCAAAACAAAGAAACGTCGATGTGAATGATAAACTACATTTTTCCATTTGTAGAGCTTATTTACAATAATGGAGTACGGTGGAAAAATCTTTGGGTCCCGCGGTTGCTAAAGCATATGGTAAATTGAAGAGAATAGACATGTTTTAAAATTGTATAGCAAGTCCGACTGTGAAAAGCATGAAATATTCCTACAACATTTAAAGGCGTTTTCTCCACTTCCATCTCCTTCACAATGTAGGAGTTTGAGTGCCATTTCAGATAACCTAGTGTTGGTGGTCGGACTGATGCCACCAGCGTAAAGTCTGAGACAAGCTGCTGTTTAATGAACATAACACGCTGACCCCAATGTTTGGCTTACTGTTTTGAGTTTATGACAGACATAAACAATGTCCTGCTGTTTTTGAGGACAGACTAATCTGCTCTGGTGATGCAATAAACACAGCTCTCAGGCATCTGATGCTGCAGATATTTTCATGAGACACAATATCTCAGCTTTCTCTGCAAATTTAGCCAAAACCTGTCTATGTTTTGTAGTGACATCGGAATAATTTCCCCATTCTAAAACGTCATATTTAACGTATCGGTAACATTATGTGCATCAGTGTATGTTAGCACATTGTCAGTTTAATGCAGAAGCTGCTAAAAAAAAAAATAGCCACCTTCAAAGTCTCAATGCTGCAATATTCCTGTTAACAGAACAGTTCATTCACTTTCATTGCTGTTGGGCATAATGTTCATAAATAGGAATGCGATGTATAATCTGTCTGTGATTGAGTTTCCCTTGGAGCCAGGAATGAAACAATTTGATAAGCTCTTCCGCTAATACATACCTTCTGTGTGTCGGGGTCTATTAACCAGTTCCAAGCCCCAGTCGCCGTACAAACAGACACCACTATCAGAATCACTGAAACAAGACGTAGGAGTGAGATGTAGCGCAACATGAAATTCGATTTACCACATCGACACAATGCAGATAATTTTTTAACACAAGTCTTGCTATTCATTTGGTATCATGATTCTTTCTTTGACAGTCTAAGAGAAAAACATCAGGTAACACATACACAGAAACGACTGACATTTTAGAAAATGCAGGTGCCATGTCAGCCCCTACATCTCCTCTGCTATAGTTTAGACAATCACCAGTAACAGTTACTTACTTCTCCACCTGCCTGTAGCAGGTTGCAAACACGAGACATACTCTGTCAGTCTTCTCTCAAAGGCCTTCAGATCTATAGCACAAATTAGGGTAAAATTAGTAGACTCACTACCTGGACAAAGCATCATGACCTAAAAAATGTTCCATCTGGTCTTTTTTACAATCATCTTTCCTCAGACAGACTGTAATGAACCTGAATCTTAATATAATGTCAGTCTCAGGTCTAAGGCTGAGATCGTGTCAGTTTTGTATTTAAATGACCACTTCAAGTAAACTGAAGCACACTGACAGGATGCAGCTGTCTTGCTTACGTTTCACTTTGAAGCTGCTTGTGTCTGGGCCAATGTGCTGTCTTTATATCTTCATTTCTCACAACAGAAACCACAAAACTTCACAAGCAAATATGTGTTAGCTAAAAACAACACAAACGTATTGACGACTGAATGTCTACTGTCACTGAAGCTAGCACCACATGCTAAGTGTCGCGAGCAAACTAGCCAGCTAGCGTTCCGTTACGTCTAACATTTGAGTCTTAAGACTTTTCTTTTAAATTTATTTTGTGCCTAAAGCTAGAAGGCTAAACAACAAGTCAATGGCTATTTGAAAAAGCGTTAATTTAAGTTTGTTTGTGTGTTGGTTACCTTCGGCCTGTTCCAAGGAGTTCATGTCTGAGCCTACTACAGCCGCCTGCTGTTGGCTGTGCCGCTGCCTCAGCTGAAGGACAGGCCTGCAGACCAATCCGCATTGGCTGTGTGCTCAGCTGAAATCTGATTGTGCGAAAATCAGATGAAGGGCGGTGAAAATGTCATAGCCCCGCCCACGTGATTTGTCAGGTCCAGGCTGGCCCTCCAGACTGGAGGTGGCGCTGTTTCTACTAGTCAGGAAAAACTAACACCTGTCTCTGCTGTTCCAGGAGGCCTTTACTTTTTTTTTTTTTTTACACAAAGACATATAACTGAACGTAAATTTAGTTTTATTTTTCCAAAATATAACCAAAAAAAATGGCAAAGGAGCTAAGGATAACAGTACATAAAAAAATAAAAGTGCCAGTACATCTATAGGATTCAAATGTGTTCGTTAATTATGCAGGTTTAAGTCTCTAACTGTGACAGTTCAATCTGTTACATTCTTGACTTAACTATTGGCATAGACTTTATTTATTTCAAATCCTACATCATTTATATGTTTATATTAAGAAAAGGAAGTGAACGTGTGGTTGAGCAAGAATTTATCATTGTTATTTACAGCTGATAATGTCTCAAGATGGTTTACTACATACACATTTTCATCTTTTCATCACTTTAGGCACAGATTAACATTTGCCCTAGTTCATGCTGGACTGCCAGTTCCCACCTGGATTTTATGCTGAAGTGAAAAACTTCAGTATATGATTTAAATGTCAGATTACAACCCTGGGCCTGCAAAAGTGTAGGTGAATAAAATGAAATGACATATTTCAAGTGCAATTTTACTTCTTTTAGTCCAACAATTGTATAATCTTCATCACACAAAACATACAATCAGGTCAAGTCATGCCATCATTTTAAAACTATATCAAAACACAATTTCTAGATTTTGTAGTGTATTTTGTTGTTTATTGGCTGCAGTTTGTTTTGCAGCTTTATATTGAAGTGTTCTCTCAAAATTTGCTCGATCTCATCATCTGTTGCATCTCTTATTTCAAAGGCATCAACACCTTCCTCAGGTTTGAAGGTGACCTCACTGTAGGTCCAGCCAATCAGGGCCTTGAATCCTGTGGGCGTTTGCACAGAGCAGATGGACTTATTGGGGAACAATGAGACCGGGTCAGTTTGGAGTGTGTGGTTTGTCTCTAAGAAATGTTCAACCCCGCGAGGTTCCAAAGTGAAGCAGTAGATCTGATTTATTTCATTCCTGTTCACCAGGTGTGATTCAGCAAATTCTGGATTGACAACCAGTGGTTTTCTAGCAGTCTTTTCCAGCACCCAGACGTCTCCTTTGTCTAGGAGACGAAAGACACCCGCTGCCTGTGGTTGGTCTTTTCCAGAGATGAGCTCCAGAGGTTCTCGCACCTGAAAGGACACCCCGAAACTCACATCCGTTATATAAGCCTTCCCATCGATGACGACTTTGTTGATGAGATGAGTGTCGACGGACCGAAACTCATTGAGGACTCTGTCGAAAACTCTGGAGCCCAGCATCGTCGTCTCATAGCCCATTTCTCTCAGCACCCAGTTAAACAGATAGTTGTTCTCAAGGCACCAACCTCCACGGCTGCTCCTCACCACCTTATTGAAGATCACCTCAAGGTCCATGGTGATCTTCTCGCCACAGTGAATGCTGAGGTTCTCAAATGGGATCGCCATG